ATGCAGGACATGTGACTGTCCCCAGCTGTTTTACCAGCGTGAAAACTTTTGTTTGCCACTGTATATCATGGAAGTTTTACAGAACTCTCTGCTGTGCCACGACAAAATATGCTAAGACAAATAGTACATAAATCAGTAATTGAAGTAGTACCTCTGCTCCCAGCTGTGCTTCCATGAAAGCACAACATCCAACAGTCCGACCACAAAAATGTGATATAAGCTTGACCAATTGTTACAAATGCATAGAACTATATCCAATTTCGTCTTTGCACACAGAACCTACATGTAAAAGGTAGTAGAAGACAGAAAATTGGCTTTTATATCAAATCTCTCATTATTTTTTCCTTTCAAACATTCATATTTGCATATGTATGCTTATACTTACTAAATAAACATTAATTTATTGTTTAAAAAAAAACAGAAAACAAAAATCCCAGAAAACATACAAAACAAAAACAAAAACCACAACCCAAACAAAAAAAAGCAGTCTTTCACAAAAAGGTATATAAAGCATATAATATTTGTTTTGGACTTACTCCAGGCTCTTACACAAATGCTTTTTGAGGTTTCCATAAATGATTATTTATGGACTTGCCCAAAGCTTCAAGAATCCTTTTCACAGACACACATGCCCCAGCACTACAATCCATCACATGTTATGGCTTCTCCAAATGCTAACAGCTCCCTTTGGGTTTATGGGCCTTTATCTGTGTAGTAACTGGCATAACTTTTTCCCACTTTGAACACAAGATCTTGTTCAATAACATACAGGAAAAAAAAGCCCAATAAAATGATTTTACATTGGAATAGCAACAAGAAGTCTGGATTTGGTAATCTTGCTTATAGAAACTTAATAGTTATTGGTACTCTTACACCTCATTACTAAAAAAATGTGATTACTTGTCTGTTCCTGAAATCCCCTTGTAAACTGTATTAATGACTTAGAAACCTAGAATTTAAAAATTATTTGGACTAAAGACTGGGGTGATACTCTGGTGCTGCTGTTAGGTGAGATCAGAGGTGCCTATCTCTACCGTGAGTTTCTAAAGGAAACACTGCAAATACAAGCTCCAAAAACCAAAAGGTCTTGAGTCTCATGTCTGCCTCTGGAACATGAGGAAAAACACATCTGGCAGTATTAAACTTACATAATGCACATTTAACCAATCACAGGTAGTATAGGCATAACTAAAGGGCATAATTTTTACTAACATAACGAGGCTAAATGTGTGTAGCATTATGCTACAAACTGCCACTGTGACAATTCAGTAATTGTTCAGTTTATGGAGATCTGACCCCTTGGTAAGTGTGATGTTCTCAGACCATGATAAGTCATTAGGAAGTTAACTGACAGCTTTGGTCAGAGTTGTCATCAGGATGTTAGGATTGCTTCCATCAGACACATTGCAAGGACACAAAAGGCTTAACCCATAAAGAGTTATTTATTAATATTACTTCTAGCATTAAAACCAATTCTTACATTTAGACTGGTTTTGCAAGGAAAGAAAATGGGAATTTCACCCTTTTGGTATTGAAGATTGAGACATGGAGCCAGTGGCTGCCACCTTCTGAACTGGGTTTGATTAGTCATTACAACACAGCAGTTACCTGAGAAACAAGGTTTCTCCAATGACTCTAAGTAAGTTTTCCAGGTAATATAACCTGCAGTAAAAAGCAGCCAAGACTTTTAACTTTTGTGATGCTGAAAGATTGGAAAGCAACCAAGTGAAATGCAAGGAGTGGGTAAAGCATCAGAGCAATAAACAGGGAGAGCTTGGAAAACTTTGTGTTAAGAGCTTCTTCTGATACATTGTCACCTGTGGCCAGACCTGATTACTAGCTGTGCTTCTCCAGCACCTGGCCAGAAAAGCTCAGCCAAGATGTTCTGCCATGTGACTCATTTCCTTTTCAAAAAAATTAAAGTAAATATGGTGAAGCCTGTGCCATGAACTAACTCATGTGTTATCTCTATTCAAAGTTACTTGCTAGTCGTACTTGTGATAAACAGCACAGGTACACACGAACCACTGTCCCATTCTTCCACTCATCGCAAGTCCTTTGCAACACATCCAATTACTCTCATTTCAAAGAATACTCCTCTCAGTCTTTTTCCAATAAAGTGGTTTTTAAAGGAAAAAAAAATGCTCTGAGCTTCAGTCTGAAAATATGTGCTCCTCCAGAAAGTAAAGCACCTGAACTAAAATCTCTGATTAAAGAAGAAACGTGAGAGTTACGGTGTTCCCTCGTTTCAAAGGGCCTCCAGCTGACTGAGGAGGAAGAGAGCTGAGCAAGAAATGCTTTAAAAACCAAACTTTTATTTTACTGTCAACTTTTACCATCTCTTCTACTAAGAGCTTTATCAAATGTGAAGTCTGATTGGTGCTACCAGCTCCAAAACACTCTGCCCTACTGTGTACATTTTAAAAAGAAGAAAGGAGCAGAAGCCCCTGACCTCCACATATGCAGGGATCAGGACGCCGGGGAGAGCCCCAGGTTCGCGGTTACCATTTACTTTTGTTCTTCTTGCTCATTTCAAACTGACAGATCAGCCAGTCTCTGTGCTCGCTACCGTGTGCAAGCTCCGGTTTGCAGCCAAGGCAGATTAGCCACTTTGCTGGTGATATACCACGCAACACATGCTGCCTTGTGCCTGTCACCCAGCAGCCTCGTGGGAATGCAATCTGAGCCTGGAGGAGCAATGGAGCGGCAAAACAAGAAGTTTAAAAAGACAGGAAGAGAAACAGCTCAGAAAGAACAACAATTCCTTCATTTCCAGCTTCTGTTATTAACACTCCTGTCTTTACACGTACATTTAGGAGAAAGAGAGCCTGTGATTTGTCAGACTTACTCTTTTTACCAACTTACCTGTGGAAGAACTGGAGGGAAAACTATTCTGATAGCTGAAAAACTATTAAAATTTCATCTGGCTTAAAATAGTCTGGTTTTCTATAACACTTGCTATGTCTGCTGTGCCTCTCATTTCTTTCTAGTTTGTGTTAATTTAGTGATGTGGTTAATTTGAGCACCAAAGACAATACTGTTTAGAGCCCTCCGTTTTACAAAGGCTGGCAAGCAGTTATGCAACAGCGCAGTGGAACAAATTAATTCAAGAACACAAGTGGGCATTTATCACACATGCTTTAGCCTTTGAACACAAAGGTAAGACGATCACTCTGCCAGGTATGGATTCTCAAACTCTTCCAGCACTGTGCAAGCCTGACTCGAAGCCCCAGATAAAAGACTTACAGCTGTGACAAGTTTCTCCTGCCCAAATACATAACCCCACACTCCCTTCAGCCCTGGCAATCCCTGGCAGTCTGGCAGAGGATCCTGATCAGACAGAAATGCACAGTTAGATTTATGATCCAGGCGGATTTTACAAGTTGAGTCAAATTGTTCCCTGTGAAGAGGAAATAAGCCCTGCACAATCTACACCTCCCCACACCTTCCCTTCAAAAATGACATATTGTCATCTCCTCTATAGGCAGGCAGGGAGGCTTTCATAGCTTGCTGCCCAATTACAGCAGGAATTCTGCCCTCCCCCTCCAGCTGGTACAATGGGTTCTTTATGTAAATCACTCAGAAAAATTAATACACCATTAATCCATCAGTAAAGCTTCCTTTCCCATCTCTGCCCTGCAGCGTGAGCACAGGCTAAGGAAGGCAGCACAAGAAACTTTATGGAAGTTACACAGAATCCAGCAGCAGGGCTCAATGGTTCTTCTTTATCTTGCAAGATCCCATCCCACACGCGTTAGAAGTTAATCTGGCATCGCTGTACAATACCAATATACCAAAAGTCAAAAGTAAAAATTACTGGTTGCAAACACAAACTCCCTTTTAGAAGTTTTTCAGCAGCAAAATAGGTTAAAAAACAATCTTCAAAGCACAGATTAAAGTTGTGTCCTAGCATGCAAGGAGCAAAGCACAGGCATATACATCCTGTGTTAGTGTTCCTGCATACAAACCATTTACTAAAGCCACAATCTGTTCTGACACGGAAGTGAAATTCTGGTCAAATAGCTATTAACTGCTTTGAGAAATGAAAAGAAATAAAAGGCCCTTTGAAGATCAAATGCCCTTCAAGAGCCTGCTTGCTTTTACAAAAATGACCTTACAGCACAACAGAGTCAACCTTACACTTTCTATTAACAAACTACTGCTCTGGCAGCACTGGAGAAATTACAACCAAATTACTCACTTTACTAAGTATTTTCAACCTTGCGTGCACACACTCCGCTGCCTGCCAGCCAACTACTGGTCCTGCTTACCAACTCACATGAGCAAACTTCTGAAATTTGTTTTGATTTATGGCGAGTATGAGGTAATTGGTTATTTAGTGACCTGACAAACTTCATTCAAAAACAGAACACAAAAAAATAAACGTTCATTTTAGAAGTCTCATGTAAAATATACTCCAGGTCTGAACACTTCAAGGGTTCAGTCAGAGCTGCTTATCTCATGTTCTAGATGTCCCTCCTCTCTGTGGAGCAATTCCCATCACTTTCTCATAATCTCTTTTATTTTGCATCTGGGACCTCTTCTCAGTCTGCCCTCATAAAACAAAATAGGCTTAAATTTTTCCCAGCAGGACCATGAGGCAATCATCCAAGAAAAGCCACCCAGTCGTTTAGAAGTGGAGTCTTAAACAGCTTTTGGTTCCACATTTTGAAGAGATTCTTGCAGCACCTGCCCAAAGACTCTGGCACCGATGACTACTGGCTACAAGAAGCATAAACAAAACTTACCTACATCCCATACAAACAGTACCCAGATGGGAAATTAAAGGTTTTCCCTGTTAATTATTATAAGCTTTCACAGTTTTAGCCCCCAAAAAACTTGGCAAGGCAGTGCTGCACCTCAGTTTTTGTGCTGCCCTCCGCCTCCTCCCCCACCTGCGGCTCCTGGCCCCGGTGGGACCCGAGCAGCTGGAGAGAGCCGCATGGAGCACGGCTGGCACTTCAGCAGCAATCGCAAGGGTCAAAGAGAAAGCAAGTCACCTTTCCTCTGCTGGCTCCGGTAGGTCCAGTTCTCGTCATCCTCGTCTACCTGCTGCACGCACATGGAGGAGAGTTCCCCATCGCTGCGAAACAATCTCTTTGTCTGCCTTGACAAGGACGAGAAATTTATCCAGCTGACAGCACGCGAGAGGGAGCCTGGGTTTTGTTTGAGTTTGAAAGATCTCGAAACACACTCCTTTTTCATTTTCTTTCAAGCCAGCCACTGGCGTCGGTTCCAAAGAGACCTCTCTGAAATCGTTCCTGTCCCTTTTCTCAGCGGTTTTCGCGGGAGGCTAAACAAACTCAATCCGACTTCAGCCCAGGTTTCTGCTCGCTGCCTTTAAACCAGCACCACTATGGAGGTAGGTGGCTGTGCCAGCGCAGCTCCCCTGAAGCTGTTTTGATACAGCACTTAGGAAGCTGCCAAAGAAAACAAAGGGGAGAAAAGCAGCAGAAAGTGGCACCTTGCAGCAGCTCAGCGGAGCATGTAAGGGCTGAGCAGAGCATAGCACTGAGGCAAGTGTTTCCCCCATTCTCCGCTCAACAGCAAAAACTGTAGCTCCGGCTCCACTCTTCTCCCTGGCATCGCTGCCCAGGAGCGTGCAGGCAATTCAGTCCTCTCTTCTGGCTCATCGAAAACAGCCCACGAGGAGGGAAGAGCCGGCAGAGATCACGCCTTGGCACGGCACAGCTCACGAGGGACAATAAAGCGACTACACTTCTGCCGCCTCATCCTGGCTTCCCTGCTCTCCCTTAGAGAAAAGCCTTGTGAAGCAGCTCCAGGAAGGCTCTTCTAACAATAAAACCGACTGCGTGGCTATCGCTTAGGATTAGAGTGAAATATGATAGGCTCGCTCTCCTAAAAGCAAAACTCCTCCTTTCCTCCGCCAGCTCAGCTGCAGCACAAACTTCTGAACTCTGCGTGCAGAAATAGGAAAGCACTTGCGCACCTCTGCGGAATTGGATAGGGGGAAAATAAAGTCCTGGAGCTTTTCCACACCAAAAGCAACCTGAACAGTGTACTGAAAACATTAGTGCCCCCGTAGCTGGTGGTACATTTGAAAAGAAACTGAATAAAAGTGCATAGACAAACAAAACTTGAGCAGATATTTAGTGATCGGGCTCTCACTGGGGTCACTACAGCTCATAAAACAGGTTTCACTCCCAGCTGTTACTTTCTGCTGCCTCCTCTTTAAACTAGCAGCTAGGAAAAGCACTCCACAGTGTGAAAGTTCTAAAAAGTCAGGCACTACTGAAAGCTGCAGTGCTTTCCCTGCATGCCAATACCAATGCTGCTCCCAGAAGGGAATAAGCCTGCAAGATGGAGGGGCAAAGGGAGCATTTTAAAGCAGACGGGAGTTGGTTATACCAAGGCTCCCTAATACCCACGTATTTTGCTGGAACTGGTCACCAAGATAAAAGTCGACCAAAAAAACCCCCACACTTTCTATCCTGTAGCAAAAAAATAGACTTGAATGTGGGAGATAGCCGGTAAGGTCAGCTCAAGGAATCCTCAAGGAGACGGTGGTAGAGAGGGATCCGGGGAAGGGGGCGTGGAGGAAAAAGAACACAAAACCATACCCTTTATCTGAACAACAAACATTAATGTCTTAGCGTCCCAATGGCTGCAGATGATGTTATCAAAAAGACAAGGATCGTAAGAAAAAAAGGAAGCAGTGTTCGGGCTCCCAAGCTGCCAGTCAGATTTACACTATTGCAGAACACGCCCCAACCCCTTGGCAGATGCTACCGCAGCCCTCTGGATTCTGCTGCACAGGCTCTTCAAAACCATTAAAAACAAAGGCTCTGGCTTTTTCTGAAACTTACGGCTCTCTGACTCATAATAAGAGGATAAGGTTTAACCCACTGACTGGGAGGCAAAAAGCTAAGTACTGTATCAGATTACCCTATGAATCAACGAGGCACACCAAAGTGACCTTTGGCTCCCAGTAACACAGCACAATGGGTCGGCCAACTGTCTTCTGTAAATAATTTAATAGGCTGCATTTAAATTGACCTCACTCCAACAAGGTAATGCATATGTACATACACAGGTCTCCTACCACTTCCCAAAGCCAGCGGTGCTGTAGTGGGGTTGTGGAGGGAGTGGTGTGAGTGGGAGCTAACACAGTGCTAACACTCACTTTTCTCACTGTGTGTCAGCAAGTCCTTCTAGTTTGAAGTTTTTTGTCATTGTTAACAGACACCACTCCCCATCCCTGATGAGACAAGAGACCTGTGTAGGGTTGGGAGGTTTCCTTTGTTTTTCTTCCTTTTGCTTACAAGAAGACTTGAGAATGTAGAGTGAGGTAGCCCTAGAGACCCAAGTACTGAAATATCCATCTTGGAGCAGCTCATGTATAAATAGGCAGGATTTAATATAAAAAAAAAAAATCAAAGACCATGCTTAAAAACTTAGGGTTGGTTTTTTGTTGTTTTTCTTTTGTTTTGTTTTGTTTTTTACAAAAAGCAAAGATTTGGAATTGCCAGTACTGAAAAGTACAGAGAACTGTAAACTACCACAGCTATTATTGGCTAAATTATACAGAACCAGATGTATAAAACCCTGGTAGGAACTGCAGAATCACAGTCATCTCCTCACCACTGTACTACTTAGAAACAGAAGATCAGAGGAACCAACATGAAGGAAACCCTTTCAGGTTAACCCAAAACGCCAAGGTAAATCCCAGAGGCCTGCCCAGAGTGTAAGCAGCAATTTATTTTCAGGAATTTTACTGTCCTGTCTGTACCTCTGCCTTTTTTACACGGTGCTGAGTCACAACTTGGTGATACAAGAGCAAAAGCACCGTGACTGACCATAACATTTCCATTGTTACTGTAAACAGAGTAGTGCAATGCTTTGCTCAGAGTTTGCTATCATTTGATATAATTGGAAATTAATTAGCAGGAATAGAAATCTTTTCTAGCAGGAAAAGATCCATTGCTAGACACTTTAACACTGTCACTATTATCAGCAAACATCATTATACATGTGGATCAAAAATTAATTTCACAAGATCAAAAGAAAACAGCAATTACCATTTGAAAAACAAAACATGTTTAGTAACTGTTGCAAGTTAAACCATTCTTTAATCACTAGCCAAATACAAGGCCACTGAGTTGGAAATCCATCCAGAGGAAGGCAACTAGGCCGGTGAGGGGCTTGGAACACAAGCCCTGTGAGGAACGACTGAGGGAGCTGGGGGTGTTGAGTCTGGAGAAAAGGAGACTCAGAGGTGACCTTATCACTGTCTACAACTTCCTGAAAGGTGGCTGTAGCCAGGTGGGGGTTGGTCTCTTTCTCCAGGCAACAACTGACAGAACCAGAGGACACAGTCTTACGCTGCACCAAGGGAAATATTGATTGGATATTAGGAAAAAAGTTTTTTATGGAAAGAGTGATAAAGTACTGGAATGATCTGCCCAGGGAGGTGGTGGTGTCGTCATCCCTGGACGTGTTTCAAAAAAGACTGGATGTGGCACTCAGTGCCATGGTTTAGCTGTGGTGTTAGGGCATGGGTTGGGCTTGGTGATCTTGAAGGTCTCTTCCAACCCAGGGATTCTGTGAAATTTTAGCATTTGAAACACTGTAGAGGCTTAAATTTAATTATGTAAAACACTCTACAAAGCCATATGAAAGAAACAAGTACACTTCTAATAAACTAAGCTAATTTTCCAACCTATTTTCTCCCTTATGAAGATGTCATACAAGTATATAAGCTTCATATTTTCCAGGTTATGTGTGTACAGATTAAGGCATTCTTTTTGGTACATTTTTTTAATACAAATCAATCTCAGTAAAAAACATGAAGGAATCACAGAAGAAACACAGGGCTTGAAGTAGAAACTTAAATTGGTTCCTTTCCCTACTCCTTTTTATTTATTTTTTAGAGGTGAACAAGTCTGAATAACCATAGTCTCACATACCATCAGGATTTTTACCATGTATCACAACCTGATTGTCTAAAAATTCTCTAGAAGTTGCTAAGCAAACACACGTACATGGTTCACAGCCACTGTGTTCTCCTAATGCCAGAAAAAACAGAAAAAAAAGTTTCTCAGAAAAGGTTTTGGGTCAGTGTAAAAAACTAACAAAGCAGAAAGACAAAAACCCCAAAACACCACAGACATGCTCTGTTTTTGGCTTTTGGCACAATCCGTATGTTAATTTAATTCCTGCATTTCCCAGTCTATCATGTCTCATGACTCAGTGAGACAGTAACATGGATGATTCACAATTACAGATAACTCATGCTCCTACAGCTGAGAGGACACCTCTCTCTCAGGCTTCCCGGGTGTTTTCCTTCAGGTGGTAACAACTCATCATCAGCCAGTCATAAAGCCATTTGGATTAAGCACCGGCAAAAAGCCATTAAAAACATCCTCCCGGTAGTCTCATCCCATCCTTACAAGGTTCTTGCTGCAGCCAGAGAAAGGAGAGGGGTGCTCCAGCAGGCCTGAGAACCCCTCCATCCCAGAAACCACCTCAACACCACCAGATCAGCTACATATGGTCACCTCCCCAGTGCACTCATCATCTCCAGGCAGATGTGTGGGAATTTCAGTCAGTTTTGAAACCTTTTCAACCTCCATCAGAGGTCTTTATCTATGGCATGCCTGCTCTTTTAGATGTACCCTATGAAATGCTTACATAGCAAACCACAAAGTAATCCATATTCCTGCATGATTATTTACAGCAGAGCAGCCACAGGGAGCATTTTGCTATAGGAGGGCCTCAAACTTCCAGTTAAGGTTGTGTCCCTTTTTATGTGCAGGGCACATAAGTGAGAAACTCTTTCCTTCCCAGTGTGAATGGACCTGTGAGGGAAAAAAAATAGTAAAGAAGGAACAAAAATGAAGTTACTTGCCCAACATCACAGAATGGATAAGCAGCAAAGCTAAGAAAAGAAAGTAGGTCTCCTGGCTACCAGCCTTGCGACCTACTTAAGTAGGCCCTGTCTCACACAAAAGCAATACCAATTAATTGTTTCTATCACAACCCTTACAGAGCCTTTGAATGCCCTAATTATAAAGAAAAACTTCCTTTCTGTTTTTACCCTTTTGATTTTGGGGTTTTTTTTTTCCAATTTAAAAATAAACCATATCCAAACTAAAGGAGGAGGGAGTTTCATCTGCATTTCCAGCTTTATTAGGTCCACAAGAAAAACAGAAACAAAAACAAAAACAAAAAATCAGACCACAGACAACTATTTTATCCTACAGAGGATAAAACAGCTTTTGGACAGGTCTGTATGATGCACCTGCCACCAGTCTTTCTTCCTTCTTTCAGCTTCTGTGTTCCAGAAGGATTCACTGCATCAAGGTAATGTTTTCTCTCATTCAACAGCTGCACTTACTTTGATAGGGAAATTCTGTACGGGGGTACAGTTTCTATAAAGTGCTAGGCTAACCTGGAGCTGGTTCTCCCCTCAACAGCAGCAGTATGAAGGGATATTGATGGCTCTTACTGAGAGAGAGAAATCGAGAAAGGCACGCGAACTGTACAAGCTGATTGTAAGCCAAAAAGATATCTGTAAGAGGGGCAGAACCAATGCCAGAATTTCCCAGAAAAAAAAAACAAACCAAACAAACTTCTCTAAAATGCTTTGATGCTGCACATAGAGACACTCCCCTGCTTCAAACATATACAAATGCATTCATAAGCTTTTGACTTTCTTCATCAGCGTAATTCCAGAACTGATGCAAACCCCAAATTTCATAGCAAAGGTGCTTGCAAGTATGCAAGGAGTAGGGCAACTACTGATGACAGGAGCAGTTTCA